TTTGCGATTCATTCATCTTGGTTTCGATTCTTTGTGCTAAGAACGGAATTTCTGTTAATTGTATCTCAAAGAGGATTTCCGGTAAACCCAAGCACCGTGTGGGGGAAATAAACCTCTTTAGGAAAGTGTTTCACACGCCTTTGACAGAGTATCAAGGTCGTAGTCTCAAGGGACATAGCAATTCTCATGTTCATGTGTGCTTTGATTGACTTGGAGTTAAGGCAAGTTTGTTAGTCTTCACATTAGTGTTTTATTTAGAAATTTATGTAATTTCTTACACTTTTTAATACTTGATTGTAACACCTTTGTTGTGTTTGTTTTAATTACATTACTTTGTTATTGTAATCACATTATCTAGGTCACACATATTTAAGTATTTTGCTTGATTGCATTTACTGTAAAACCTAACACGGTTAACCTCTTCCTCCCACAACACACACTGATCACCATCTTCACCTGTCCAATAAAAAAAAATGAGACAATTATAAGGCTAACATTTAAAGAATAAAAAAATCAATGGTTAGATTTAAAGCACATATCTTTTGAAACCCTAATTCTCCACTTTACCACTTTTACTTCTTATCCCTCACGAGTCACGGCGCCTTGCTCCTTCATTCTCAGATCTCCCTCTCATTCTCATATTTTCATTTATCTTCTCTTCATTCTCATTTCTCTGTTTTCTTCTCATTATCAATTCGTTGGTTGCAATTGTTTGAACTTTGAAGTACTGTTGCTGCCCGAATCTCATCCGTTGCTGCGTGCCCAAAAACTCAAACATTGCTGCCCAAAAACATAATTTTTCTCTCCAAATCTTCCCTCAAGCTGCCTGGTTTGTATTCATTTAATTTTGAAATATTTAATTTTTGAAATATTGTACTTTTGAAGTTTTCTTCTTATTTGTTGCTGTATCATTGATATTTGATTCAATTTTTAATAATTTATTTCATTTTTTATGTTTATTTCGCTAATGAAATTAACATTCATTAATCCTAATCCTAAGGTTTCGAGTTGGCAAGATAATTGTCGTGCTTTTATTTAATGATTGAACAAGTTAAAATTATAAAATAAGACTAAGAAAAATTAAATTAGCTATCTATCCTAGTCGTATGTCAATTGGTTCTTTTCTGGGTAATTGGTACTTTGTTAATTGTATTTTGACGAATTTGTTTGTGGTGGGAGTTTGTTTGTAAAATATGATTTTTGAGTATTAGTGGGCATTTGAGTCCAGTGGGTTTTGAATTAGCCGATGACATACCCTCAAATTAGAATGATTATAATGGTTGATTTCTTTCAAAGTTAGAAAGATGATTTATACTGTTGTAGCTATTAGAGTGAACACTTACATCTACTTGTGTTTATTTTTTTTAGCAATGGAGCAAGAGTTTGATGATTATGATGAGGACAGACAAGATTATTTTGAAACTATAGATTCTCAATACACTATTCAGAATCAAGATTCTACTCAACAGCAAGTCACTACCACTAGTGGTAGTAAGCGTGGACGAACATCAGATGTTTGGAGGCATTACACCTTTTTTGATAAGATGGTTGGTCTTGCTCCGATAAAATATGCTCGATGCAATGTTTGCGGTAATGAATATGAAACACCAGGTAAGGCAGGTACTTCAGCTTGTAAAGCTCATACTAAGACATGCATGAGTAAAAATCCACACCATCCTGGAAATCATGAAAGTGGTGTTGAGCCCCCGTTTAATCAAACTCACCATTTACAATTGCTTGCTAGAGCTATAATTTTGCATTCCTATCCTTTAAGTATTGTGGAGCATCATGGCCTTAGGGAAGTTTTTACGAATCTGAATCCCAACGTGAAGCATGTGTGTAGAAACACTATTTTGAAATATTGTATTGCTGAGCATGATAAGTTTAAGTCCTTGTTGTTGCAATCTTTTTCTGGAATTGAAGGTAGAGTTAGCTTCACTTGTGACTTGTGGACAACATGCACTAATCGAGGTTATCTCATTTTAACTGCACATTATGTTGATAAAAATTGGTGTCCTAGGTCTAAAATTTTGAATTTTAGATATTGTGGTCCTTCTCATACTGGTGCTGAGATAGAAAATTTGTGTTTAAACTTATTGGGGAATGGAACCTTCAGGATAAAGCTTTTGCAATGACTGTTGGTAATGCTCAATCCATGGATGTTATGGTTAACCTTTTGAAGAAAGATTTAATGTTGACTTCTCCTCTTCCTTATAATGGTAAATTTTTCATATTCGATGTTCAGCTCATGTCTTGAACATTATTGTTCAAAGAAGTTTAAAAGAAGTTGATAGTAGTGTTCAAAAATTGCGTGAGGTTTGTAAATATATTGATTCTTCAGACTCTAGACTTCCTCAATTTGAGCATGCTCTTTATGAGGTTAATTGTGTGTTTAATGGAAAGTTACGTCTTTATGTTGTGACTCGTTGGAATGCCACCTATACGATACTCCAAAAAGCTTTAGAAGCAAAGGAAGCCTAAAAAGTGGTTATCGATAAGTTTATGGGTTATGAATTCAAACTTTCGGATGATGAATGGGATACCCTTACTAAAATATGTAATTTCCTAAAGCCATTTTATGAAATCACTGAGTTATTTTCTGGTTCAGAATATCCTACTGCAAATTTGTATTTTGCTAGTGTTTTAAAAATTGAGCACACAATAAGTAAAGCCCATATAGACCCTAAACTTGCACCCATGGAAAAAAGTTATGCTTGAAAAGTTTGAGGGCTATTGGGATGAATGTAGTTTGATCCTTTCAATTGCTATTGTTCTTGATCCTCGCTATAAGCTTGTTCGAGTGACGAAGATGTTAAAAGTACTTTATGTTGATGAGGCATGTGTTGAAAAGGCAAAGGTGATTAAAGATGCTCTTTTGGAGTTGTATAACTTTTATTCTTCTATGTCTTCCGGTTATAAGTCAAGTACAATTGTTCTCCCCTCCATCCCAACTATTATCGATAAATCAAATAGTCACTTGGATGATGATATATTCAAGGTAATAAGTTTCTGTTTATTGTGGTTTACAAAAATAATAATTGTATGTTTTAATTATTATTATTTAATAAAAGCATTTTGTTTGAACTTTTCTAGTATGTTGATGATGATGATGATGATGATGAGGATGGCCCATCAAATCGGCCATCGATGGAGATTGATTCTTACTTGTGTACTCCTCGTCAACCAACTTATGAAGGGCATAATTATGATGTTCTCAAGTATTGAGAATCTCAAATTAGTGTGTACCCCATATTAGCAGTTATGGCTAGGGATGTTTTGGCCATTCCTATTACATCGGTAGCCTCTGAGTCTTCTTTTAGCATGGGTGGTCGTATTTTAAACAAGTATAGGAGTGCGCTTTTGCCTAAGAATGTTGAGACGTTGGTTACCACAAAAAATTGGTTATGTGGTTATAATTGTGATATTGAAGAAGACGTCCTTGAAATTGGTAAAGAGGTAATAGATGAAAGTTTTGCATCTAATTAGGAAGGTATGGAAGTTGTATTGTAGTGATGCTTAATTTATATTGTGTTGCTTCATTTTTATTTTTATTTTTTTTTTTTTTTTTTTGAGAAAAGTGTTGCTTCTTTCTTACACTGATGCTTAATTAATATATTTCAGGTATTATTATTAATGTTGTTTTACGTTGCTGCTGCATTTTGGTTGTTCTATGCTACAACATTTTTGTTGGAGCTGAAGCACTCACTCCACGAATGATCTCCTTGCTGTGTTCAACCTCAAGCCTACTGGCTACTCTTTTAAAACTGATTATATATGGTTTAGTTTCTTTAGTCAACTATGGAGCGATTAACTCGTGCTTATACATATAAAAAAAGAACGAACAAAATTTTGCTCTACTGTAATGAGAAGTCAGAGTTGAATTGGGTTGAGCTTAGTTGTAATTGTAATGAGAATCATAAATTTTGATGTGAATTACAGAAAGTATTATTATTATTATTATATGCTTCAAAATTATCATATGCTTTGGATATTCTATTTAAATCTAGAAAAGACATAATATGTTGATATTGTTAGATGTTGAATAAGATATACAGAAAATTTGTAGTAGCAACAACATAATTAGTGACAATAAAAGTCATGGAGTTGTATATTGTGGTTCAGAAAAATCTGCTATTCTCCAATTTTTTTTTTAAATATAATACACTTTTCTTTGTGTTTAAGAATTTTGTTTTATGGGACCACTTCATAATCCCTTAGAAATAGCATTTTGTTAGCTGTTTAGGTTAGTCAATATTCTGTCATTACATGTAGCAAATCAATTAGCATATTCTATGCCTAACTTATAGCTTGTAATTCATGTATATACTCCTTGTTTTGATCATACAATACTCACGGATTAGCTAACAAAATGCTATATCTAAGGGAAGTCAGTATTAACTAAGATATATGCAATTAATATGATAAGTATAGGGTCTAAAAAAAATGATAAGTATAGAATATATGCTAAATATATTCTAACACTTAATCCATATAATTACATAAAAAAAGTGTATAAAAAAAAAAATTATAATTACATATAAAAAAGTCGGGGAAAATAATTAATAAATATGTGTGCATAATAATTATGTTAAAAAAAAAAAAAACATGTGTGTATAATTAGCTTTTATTTAAAATACCTTTTAACTTGGTTTTAATCTTTTCTTTATAGTAAGCGGTTTGTTAATGGTTAGATTTATAAGCGATTCGGTTTATAAACGATTCGGTTTATAAGCGGTTCGGTTTATAAACGATTCGGTGCAAACAGGTTGCAGTTTGTTAACGCTTTGGTGTAAACGGTTTTTTTTGTCAGTTTAAACGATTTCGGGTTAGAAATGGTTCGATTCATTTTCGGTTCGGTTTTCTTTCAGTTCGGTTTAGATTTGGTTCGGTTCGTTAACATGTTCGGTTCTTAAACGGTTTAACGTTACTCGGATCGGTTCGGTTTTGGGTTTAATAAAATGCAGTTCGGGTCGGTTTTCGATTTCAAAAAATCGGTTCGCTTCTCATTTGGGTTGGTTGAATTCGGGCAGTCAAACGGTTTCAGTTTGAAATTTAACAGATTACCTACGAGTATGAAAACTCATTCCCCGTTACAACCAAACAACACCTTATTTTTGTCCGTACAAATACCAGAATCATATGAAGTGAAAGCCAAAAACAATACTCAACTACCAAACTCTTTCCATCTAGTGCTGGTAGGACATTAACATAATTTTCTCATGTCAAAAAAAAAAAAAAAAAAAAAAACATAATTTCCACGAGGATGACGCCTACAATGAAGTCATACGGGGCTCACGGGCTAAAGAACCTGTAACCTTTGTAACGTCATTTTCTTATCTTACATTCTCTCTCATCAATTCTTGTCTCCAAGCAATTCTTTCTATTAGTACTCGCATTATACAATTCTCTTCAATTAATTTTATCTTAATTCTATCAAAAAATTCAGAAATTAGAATTAAAAATGGAGGGGAATTTGCAACATTTTGAGTTAAATACAGGAGCCAAAATTCCATCAATTGGGCTAGGTACCTATGCAACTCCTCCACAAATTGTTGGTGCTGCTGTTAAGGTTTTCTCTCTCCTCTGCTTCTATGTATTACTCCGTATTATTACTGTACTTTGATAATTGGCCATTATTATTTCTTTAGATTAATGGGTTTTTGTTTGATTTTTGATTAATATTTGTTAATTTCCATGAGATTGAAGTTAATTTTGTTGCAAATTTTGGTTAATTTTAGTCAAAAACATGTTCTTTGCAGACCCAAACATAAAATGTATACAGAGTAGTTGAAGTGAAGAAGTCCTATTTTATTCATTTTATTCCAAAAAAACAAAAATACAGTGTATAAAAAAACACTTTGCAGTGTGTTAATAAATTATTTGAAAGTAAGTAACTAAGTATATGTTGAGAAAAAAAAAGGTTTGATTAAATTATGAGTGAAGACCACGAAAAGAGATTGATAATAAAATGAGAAAATTCAAGTTTATCAACAAGATAGGCAAAAAAAAAGAAAAAAATTAAAAAAAATAAAGGGGCATTTTTGTATATAAATCTACTTTCATTAAATGTGGGCTCATATTTTTTTTATTTTATTACGAAATGGATAAAGTTGTTGCTTTATTTACATCTCTTGATTTGTGTTTTTTTTTCTTGTTTGGTTGACATGGAAATGCGTGATTTTTTTTTTTTGTTCCACCTAGTTTAGCCTTTGGGCTAATTCGGATTCGGGGACGTGGGTAGTTAGGTTTCAGTCCCCTCCCAATTGTTGTTGCAGGGATCGAATACGGGTCCTCCTTACAAAGTGCAGTCCCAATCACCACTGCACCAACAACCAATTGGTGGGAATACATGAATTTTGATTGATGGGACTCCTGTACTTCCCATGTAGAAAGTTGAAATTCCCATAAATTTCCACTTCCTCCGTTTTTCCTTTTTTTGCGTCAATAAAACAACTATCAACTTATCAATTACCATGAATTTTCATTTTTCCCATTTTATGTTGTCAACCAAACAAGGCTAGCTTGTTTATCTAGTATGTGATAATTTGGGTCTTGCTTGTAAAGTGTAAATAGTTTTATTTTTTAAAAAAAAAAACCTACTCGTGGCTTTGTAGAGAAGTGTTACATGGAAGTATTTATTTACTGTTGACTTTGGTTTCCTATAGAGTTGAGTGAGGGTAAAATCAGGAGGAAAGAGGAGGTTTGTATATATCAAAAAAATGTGAAGTGAGAGAGTAGGCAGAAAGGTGCAAGTATTGTAAGGGGGCATGATAGTAAATTTACTTATCCAATATTAAATGATGTGGAACGTAATATGGATACATCTTTTGAAGACGGAGGGAGTATTTAGATTATGGTTTATTACAAAATTGCGACTTTATTTATGTGTCATAGGCCCTATGTCAATGCGGTGATAGACAGGGAGTAACCTAAGGTTCGTACTATTGAGAAAAAATCTATTAAGTGGTTATTGAGTTTTATGGGGGTGAACAAAAGATTGGAATTGTATTGGAAGTCTAATTTGCAAAAAGTTTGAAAAGGCCACAACATACATATTGGATTTTCTAAAAAAAAAATAAGAAAAATAAAAGACACATTGGAGTATTTTAGTAGGGTGATTGAAATAGATAGTTATGCAACATATGATCTAAGAAATGATCTATTGTTCTTTTTATCTTGGAGGAAAAATAAATTTGAAATTAAATGAGTTTGTAAAAGAGTAAAAGGGCTAATAAGCTTATTTAATGGCCAACAAGTTTTATCCCAAAATTAAAAGTTTTATAAGTTCAATAGGAGGACTTGACTCAACTGCATATACATACATTTAGAAGTTTTCAGTTGTAACGAACATAGTCCTAGTGTGGTCTTCAGTGATCTTTATCATATCTCCGAGAAGCATAGACGAGGGTTCCTTCAGGATGACATGATTTAGTCCATCTATAGCCACAATTTGCCTCATCATTAGTCTGCATTCATAGTAGCTCCTATCTAACTGGTTTTTAATTGCCTGTAAGATTAATTCTAGACTATTTAGATTAGATAGAAGCAGTCATGATTCCGAATCCTTATATTAGGTCTTGCTTATTGCATAACATTGTTACAAATTCCCACAAAGCCATGATCACTTTAAGGAAATATGGTGAATCCATGAATGAGAAATGAAGGTCAATTAATCAATAGCTTAAAAGCAGGGTAACAAACTAACAATGCACATTCTCAAGCTATGGAAAATTATGACAGATATTTAAGTGTAGTTATGGTATCTAGAGCGTTGTTTTCATTGTCTAACAAATTAGCAGGAGCCTTCTTTATTTCTCTTTGGTAGAATAAATCATACATTATTTGTATTATATACTTCGTATGTAATGATTCATATATAAAGATGTATACCTTTCAGGCTATCAGCTCTTAATGTGATTTAAGCATCAAAGCATATGTTAAATCATTCTGCTGTAGCTCACTTATTTTACCTGATGCAGTTGGGTTACCGACACATCGATTGCGCACATATCTATGGAAATGAGAAGGAGGTAATTAAAAAATTAAACCATAAAGATTCACTGTTCTCTTTATAGTGTCTTCTTCTGTTTTTTTCCTTTTAAAATTCTTTTTATTGTATCATAAAGATCTACTCCAATTTGACTGAAAATTTTCCCCATTCTTGCTCACATGATAATGCTTTCCTTGCTTAATAGATCGGAGTTGTTTTAAAGGAGTTGTTTGAAGATGGGATAGTGAAGCGAGAGGAGTTATTTATCACCTCCAAACTATGGTGAATAACTGAATATTAAAACTTTTAAAAGGCTTGTTTTGACTATAATCTTGTAATCAAGCCTGGCTAGAATTTTCAGTATATTTATATTAAGAAGATGATTATATTTAGCATGAAGGATGAATATTTATCACTTGGTTTATTTGATTATGCAGGAACTTTGATCATGAACCAGAAGATGTTCCAGAGGCGCTAAATAGGACTTTGAATGACCTTCAACTTGAATACTTGGACCTATATCTTGTATGTAACTTATTTTAATTGAGAACTTACTAAATGGTTCTTTTTTTTAATCAATCTATTTGAATTCTGATTTATCATATTAATGCCTTTTCCTGGATCCTGTTGTTGTATGAAAGATCCACTGGCCAGTAAAGGAGAAAAAAGGATTATCTGGTAACAATCCTGAGAGATACGTTCCAGCAGACATACCTAGTACATGGAAAGCAATGGAGGCGCTTTATGATTCAGGTAGGGTTCGAGCCATTGGAGTTAGCAATTTCTCTATAAAGAAACTAGACAACCTTCTTGAAGCTGCCCGAGTTACTCCTGCTGTAAACCAAGTTGAATGTCATCCTATGTGGCCACAAGAGAAGCTGCATGAATTTTGCAAAACAAAGAGCATTCATCTATCTGTAAGTTTCCCAATTTGATCATTTTTGTTGTGCTTTCAAATATGATATGCCTGTAAATTCTGGCAAAAGGGTAACTTTTTGAAGCTGTTTTATTGTGAGTGGTGTGGGGATTGATTCATGTATGGTTTTGTCACTAGTCTCGCTACTGTTTTTAGTGTATACTGGCGTATCCCTTTTGTAGTTTTTCTTATAGATTTTAATAGAATTTCTGGTAAATATCTTGTCTCTCAGGGATATTCACCACTGGGTTCTCAAGGTGCTGGTGCAAAAAATAGATCGATTCTTGCCGATCCTATTCTCACTACGATTGCAAAGGAACTAGGAAAATCTCCTGCACAAGTAGCTCTTCGTTGGGGGCTTCAGAAGGGCCATAGTGTACTGCCTAAAACCTCAAATGAAGCAAGATTGAAGGAGAATTTGGATGTTTTTGATTGGTCAATTCCTGAAAATTTACTCTGCAAACTTTCTGAGATTAAGCAGGCAAGTACCCATCTTAATTCTTTATGCAACCTAACTTTGCCAACTGTTTCAGTCTGGTAATCTATATAATTGAATGCATATTTTCATTACTGGTATAGTGGAATGTTGGGCGTAGTATGTTGAATTAGATGAATGCATATATATGCTAGCTAGAGTGTCATGTTGGTTTCGCGCATGTTAAATACCTTTTCTTTGGGGGATGCAGGAAAAATTTGTTAAAGGCGTGGAGATGGTACATGAGACATTTGCTGGCTACAAGAGTGTTGAAGAACTATGGGATGAGCAAGTCTGAGCATCAACTCATATAAGTTCATTAAGTATTTTATTCCACTAGGTAGACTATCTCTTAATAGTGTTACCTACCTTAAGATCTATGATCTTCGAAATAAATGTCTTGAACTTTTTATTTTTGATATGTGTAATTTGTCGGATTCTAATCTCATCTGATAAAATGTTCTGCTGAGTAGGTAGAACCTTTGAGTGATGTCTATTATGATCTTGGAAATAAATGTTTTTACTTATCAGTTTTGATATGTATAATTTGTCACGTAATCTCATCTAATATTCTGATCTTAAAATGTTCTTGCATGATGTTTTGGCTATGTTACTTATTTATACGGAATTATAGATGATATGTTAGTTCATTATCTAGTTTAGATTGCGTAATTTGACGAAGTAATTATATTTTGGACAGGTGGTTAATCAGTCTGCAGTTTTTGCCTCAAGAGATGATTCATGTTTAAAGATCGACTTCTTGTATGTACATTAAGGTCATAAGTTTGTACAAGTCCCAAATTCTCAAATTTTTTGCTTTTTAGTTGCAACACTAAGCAAATGGCCTGGATTGTACTGTGAGAATCCTATAGTGCAGGCTATAGAAAAGGCAATTATGTGTGGATTTGGCTCAGGTTGTTCTAATGTTAAGGTATGTCATTGGTTTGAACAACTAGCAACCCGATATTGCTAGGTAAAAAAATATTTTTTTAACTTAACCAAGTTATTTTATTTATTATTTTTCATTGGATTTTACTCTGATCTTATATCTAGTAGTGAAGGTTATGATTCTTAGGTGGATGAGATATGATGATGATAATATTTGATCGTTGTTGTGGGTTTATTAATTTGCTGATTAATTGTGCTTTGTTTTAATGGCAAAGTACAGATGAAGCATATTTTGCTGTTAATGAATTTTTAGCGGTTTTTGTTTACAATTTTTTTTTTCAAATCTATACTATATATTAAAAGGTGTTCCGTGGCACTCTTCAACGTATATGCACCATGTCACAATGCCAGGATACTATCCAAAGTACATGCATACACCACGTAAGCTTGCAACTTCATTTAACAAAATAAATAAATTATAGTTTGAGCTAGATTCGAATCCATAACTTCCAACACATAAAGTTCATACACATACCATCTCAACCAACTTTTATTAGTGTTTTAAATTTCACATAATTAATATTACATATTTCTTTCATTTTTTAAGTAAATTAGAGGTTATTTAATTTATTTATTCTTCACAAGATTAGAAAATAACTACATATGAGGTAAAAAAAAAACCGTAATATCCGAGGCAACGTCCGGATTACACACTAGCTACATAAACAGTCAAACATAATTATCAAATTAAAAAAGTACAAACTAGCAATTCAAAGCATTGCCCGGGCCATGCACGATTTTATCAAAACTAAAACGGTTCGATTTGAATAAGCTTTTTTATACGAGTAACAACTTATTTAGAATAACTTTTTTTTATATTTAGAACACAAGTAACAACTTGTACTCTGTAATTTACATTGGTATTGTATTGCGATTTTTATTTTTATTTTTTTTTTGTGAGGAATGTTGTATTGCAATATACTAATATGATGATGATAATAGGAAATAAATCATACAACGTTGCATGATGAATAAAAATTATTAATAATTAAAAAAAAAAAAAAAAAAAAAAAAACGTTACAAGACTAAAAAGTTGGTTATCAGAGATTCAGAGATACTGCCATCTGTGTGATAATACACTAGTTCCAGCAAGATAAAGATTATAAAGAATGATAATTTTAACGTGGAAAAAAAATACGTAATCCAGAAGACTAGAAATTCCTAATACGAGTAGAAAGATAATGTTATCATAGATTTAGATACCAGTATAGCAACCGTGCAACCCACGATTGACTAATAATATTCACTTTTATCTCGCGTAAAACCTTAAATTAATTGAATATAAGAGTAACAATTAATTTCTATAAAGTAGTACATTAATCATAAATTCTTTTCAATGTTAATCATAAAAATTTAAGATACAGACCTCTTAAAAGGATAAAATTTAATAATTATGGCCGAAGTACTTATTAAAGTAATTTTTTACTCTTTATTTTTGAAGGATCCAAATTAAATACAACAACAACTTAAACTTACAATGTTTTTTTGGTGTGGCCAACCACACCATGCGGCAATCTAACACTCACCAAAACATTGACCGAGTAATCCCTGACCGATTAACTCTTGGTAAATCGAGTAATCCTTGTTCGACCGAGTAGCCCTTGACCAAGTTACGCTTAACTGACTGAGTAACCCCTGGCCAAGTTATGTCTGATTGATCAAGTACGCCTAACTAAGTAACCCTTGACCAACCAAATAACTTTGACCAAATAACCCCGACCACACCATGTGGCCAGTCACATTATGAAAATTTGTGTTAAACATAACATTTGGTACAATAGTTTTTGTACTCATTCACCAAAGTATCCAGGCTATACCCAGTTAATACTCAATCACCCGCCCGTCACCTCTATTATACCTGTACAATCCTTGCCCCTTCACTTTATTTCCAAGGTATTTACATCCACTTATAATACATGCCTCATCACCTCCTTAGTCCTTATTTGATCAATAACTTTTAAGTTGAACTTAATATATTTTTCAAAACCCCTTTCAAATTTTTATACCAAAAATAAAAATAAAAATAACATTAACATAAAATTATACTTATTAAGTACCCATTAAAAAAACAACCCAGATAGTTAAAATTTCATTCCTATTTCCAAGAGATCCTAAGATCGATTCTCATCACATTCTTTGTGGCTATCTAACAACAAAAAAAGCTATTTAATAATAAAAATGTAATTAAAAAAAAACTACAATATAACTATGTACTTTTAATTTAATAGTAATATATCTATTGATTTTTTTTATCAATTATTGTTTAATGCAATTGCATATATTTAACAACTAACTTTTACATCAACTACATTTTTAAACAATCAATGTAAAAGAATGTGTGGCCTTACCACTACACAAATACAAAAAATAGAAATTATTTGACAATATAATTTCATTAAGGCCAGTTAGTTTTATGTTTTTTTTTTTCATTTTCAAAAAGGAGATTTTACTGTGTGGCTGGGGTTACTCAAATTACTCGGTCAGGGTTTACTCGAGTTACTCTTTACCGAGTAACCCCTCAAGTAAACCCTGACTGAGTAACCCCTTACCGAACCCCTCAAGTAACCCCTTGAGTAACCCTTGACCGAGTAACCCTTAAATAACCTCTAACCGAGTAACCGCTCAAGCTTAGTAACCCCTGACCGAGTAACCCCTCAAGTAATCCCTGACCGAGTAACCCCTAATTGAACCTCTGACCGATAACCTCTAACTGAACCCCTCAAGTAACCCGTGACCAAGTAACCCCTCAAGTATCCCCCAACTAAACCCCTCAAGTTACCCATGATTAAGTAACTTGAGTGACCTCAGACCGAATAACTCGATTAATCCCGGCCACACGATGTAGCCAGCCACATATAAAAAATTGTCTTTCAAAAAGGGGATGTGTCATATGTAAATAATTAATATTCAATGTTGTACAGTCAATTAAATTGTATAAAAAAAATCACAAATATACTTAAAGTATCTTAGTTGTCTTTACAAACTACCAGTTATGAATAGTCAAACATTTAGCGTAAGAAATATAATTTTGTTAAAATTTTGCAATCTATATATATATATATATATATAGGATCATATGAGACCACCCTCCTTATGTGAGAACCCTATTATATGTGAGGACATATTATAACCGTTGGATTAATTGCATCCAATGGCTACAATTTATCCCAATCAAATGTAATTTCAAATACAATTTTCCAGCGTTTTCTCTCTCCTCCTTCATTCAACACGCCGCCATTTTTCTCTCTCCTCCTTCAATTTTTGTGCTCCCTTCTTACTACTCTCTTCTTTTGCTTTGATTCTTCATCAATTCTGCTTCTAACTTCATTGATTCTTGATCAAGGTAATTTTCGTTGATTTTTGTTTGAATTTCGTTGATTTTAATTTGATTTTCGTTGATTAAAGTTTGATTTTCGTTGATTAAAGTTTGATTTTCGTTGATTTTAGTTTGATTACTTAAGGTTTTTGTCAATTTTTTTGCGATTTTCGGTTCAATTTCCGTTCGATTTTTTTTTTTCCGGGCGATTTCTATTCGATTTCTATTTGAGTACCTATTAGTTGATTTTAGTTTTAGTTTTGCTTCATTTGTTAATTTAGGGTTCTTTATAGTGTAATTCGAACTTTTATTTATAATTTTTGAGGTTATGAATGGTTATAGAGATTGATTTTGTCAATTTTGGTACTTGCATTTCACTAATTTATGCTAAAATTTTGATGCACACTAAGTGTTTGACAATATTCCCCAATGAATCCTATTATTTTATCAATTTCAAATGTAGTACATATTTAATTGATGGTCTTCTTATTTAATATTCCCCAAGATTGTATTGAGTCTCGGCTTCTAGGTTCTAGGTGTTGTGACATTTTCTAGGTACATATTTAGTATGTTTTGACTGATAATTATGGTCGGAAAGTGTTTACCAATGGTTTACAGTATACATTTTGTCATCGTAAAGTTTGGAGTTTGAACAAAGATGACTTGACTTGGACGAATATGTATGATCTCAATTGCAATGATATGTGTTTATTGTGTATTTCTAAGACTGGTAAATGGTTGGTATTAAATGGTAAACTGCTTGCATTACTTGATCCGAGTAAAAGTTTTGATAGACAATATCAAGGAGGTACTCGTTTTGATGGTCATGTTGTTAGCGCTTGGGATTGCAAGATGAGTTTGGTTTCAACTGTTCTTGAATAAGTATGACTAGACGAGTCTAGTCTTTTGTGTGTACTCTTGCTCGGAAATAATCGTAGTTGGTTCAGGCAACATTTTACGGCTAGGTGTACCGATGAGTTGCTCTAATGGTAGTATTTACTCAGTTTTTGAAGTTTCAAATTGAGTATTACCAGTTTACTAATAGTCTTACTGTGTTTTTAATATTAGAAGTTGTAAGGAATTATGGATTAGTGGTAGTTTCATTTATATGTCCTATATATAATATCCGTTTTAATGTAGGATTAAGATGTTCAGCCTTACCAACGTTGAGATTAATTTGCTTTATGTTTTGCATGGTTTCATTGTATTGGATTGATAAAAGATTATATTAAGATGTTCAGCCTTACCAACCCAATTTCAAAGGAAAGGTGAATGAAGTAAAAGAGAGAAATAACTCAAAAATAGTGATCAAGAAGTGGGATTTAGAGTACCAAATTCATTCATGGATAACAGTGGCAAGTACCCTTGTTCTGAAAATGTATCTTACTTATCGGTGATTTGGCAGAGTTCCAATTAGAGAATACTGATCAGGCAGAGCTTCCCTTTTTCAGAGATCATGTTGTTCTGAAACGTGCTTTGAGTCATCTTATTGGTTGAGTTGCTTTTGCTTTTTGAAGTTGTTGATCAATATTTAAGAGAAGAAATAGGGAAAATGATCTTTCATTTGTATGAGTGCTGCAGACACTGAACATATAACATCTTCATAAATGAGTAAAGAAATATTTGTTTATTTGTCAAATGAGCAAATAATTGATTGCTCATTTCACAAATGAGCAAAGAAATACTTGTTGATTTAATGAATGATTAAAGAAATGTTTGCTCATTTGACAAATGAGCAACTAACTATTTGCTCATTTGACAAATGAGCAACTAACGATTTTCTCATTTGACAAATGAGCAACTAACGATT